TTCACGGCCACCTAGCCAGCTGCCTCCGGCAGCCCACAGTCCACCCGATCGTCCGCCTCCACAGCCATCAACCTATCCACCGCCATCACAGATTCCGCCGCCACCATCAGCACCATCGTATTCTCAAGGGCCACGGCCGCCGCCGCCATCGCCATTTGCGCCGTCCGTCCCAGCAGCCCCAGCACCGGCCCTCCCATCGCCCAGCCCATTACAGCCCGCACCAGAACCTGCTGGCCATCCTACGCCCCCTCCTGGCGTCATACAGCCACCTCCATTGTCGCCAAGCCCTGTATTGGAGGACACGCCGCCGCCTGTGCCTGTGTCTCCCAGCTCACCCAAACAACCATTCGTTCCGCCCTCACTGTCCCCAGTGGCGCTTCCACCTCCGCCATCTCCTTTGCAAGCCCCAGCTCTACCGTCGCTACCTGTCTATCCGCCGCAGTTCCTAATGCCCCCAATGCCATCGTCGTCGCCACTATCGCCTCTACCATCACGTCCCCTTACAGCACCACCATTTTCTCCACTGCCGCTGATTCCTGGAACTCCGTTTCGTCCCACTCCACTCCCGCCACCGCCGCCACCATCACCGTTTTATGCTCAGCAGTACCCGCCGTCACCGTCATACCCCACAAGAGCATCCCCGCCACCGTTTCCTCTTCCTCCCTTCATTCCTGGTGTCCCCTTGCGTCAGCCGCCCAACCCGGCACCCTTAACGCCGCAGCTGCCGACCCAGGCCCCACCGACGTCACCAATATCCGACCAGCCGCCACCACCACACCAGCCATTGCAACCATCCTATCCCGTAACAGCACCGCCGCCGACACCGCCGCTGCCGCCAAATGCTCCTGTACCCCCGCCGCCCAACTCATCAGCCCCTGCTTCCCCCGCAAGTGTCCCATCACTGTTGCCATCTCCTCCAAGACCAGCCGCGCCGCTGCCCAGCCTGCCACCTCTAGGGCCACAATTGCCAAGCTACCAACCGCCCAGCCCGCCCCTTCCCATCCTAGCCTCTCCAACCACACCGTACCCGTCAGAGCTGCTGTTGCCGCCGCCTCCACCAGGACTTCCGTTGCCAATACAACCGCAGCCGCCGTTGTACCCAACAATCCTACAGCCGCCGTCGCCTCTCATGCCGGGCGCTCCGCTGCTTAAGAGTCCCAGCCCGCCGCCCTCTATCCCTCAGCCACCGACTCAGGCCCCTCCGCTGCCAATGCCGTTCTATCCTCCAACAGCTTCGCCACCGCCCTCTTCGCCGATGGGTCCACATATCCTCGCTCCACAACCTCCCAGCCCAGCACTTCCTGGCCCGCAGCAATCCAACAAACCCTCACCGCCGTCATTGCCAGCCCATCCGTCGCCTGTAGCACCGTCATATTCGGCAGTCCCGATGCCGCCAGCTCCTCCCGTTCCCTCTCCAGCAACTCCACTACACCAGGCCCCCAGTCCAGCACTTGCACTGCCGCCGCCGGGGTTTCCAACATCGCCAGCCTTCCCGCTGCCCACCGTGCCTCCATCTCCCAACTCACCGCCCTCGTCCCCTATCTCTCCGCCAAGTTCGCCCTCTCAAACCCCATTACTGCCTTCCGCGCAACCATCGCAGCCGCTGCCGCAGCCGCCAATGCCTCTCACCCTTCCTGGCTCGCCGCTGGTCTCACCACCCAGACCGCAATCGCCCAGTTACCCAGCAAGCCCAGCCCCACAATCGCCACCGCCCCATTCGCCCAGCCCATTGCCTCCAGAGCGCCAACGCCGCCGCCGGGGTATCCAATATTTCCGCCACAGCAGCAGCTGCCCCCAGGGTTCCCCGTCACCCGCCCATCACCCCCTATCCCTCAAGGCCCCACTGCCGGGCACCCAGTGTCGCCAGTCGTACCCTCATCGCCACCGCCGCAGCAGCCCAGACCGCTACCATCTACCCCGCTGTTACCGCAGCCCGCATACCCAGCGTTCCCAGTCCAACCTCAGCCTCCGAGCCTTTCACCTCCATCCCTTTCCACGCCGCCACCTCGATACCCACCAGAGCAGTCCCCACCACCACACCAGCCTCTAAGCCCTTCGCCAGTCCCTCCACTGCTTCCATCACCTCCTGCCTCACAA